AATTCAGCTATTAATAAACTAATATCTCTTATCTGCTGCTTTTAAGGGTTACAGATTTCCTCAAAGTAGCATCGCCATTGCCTAGATACATCTTAATACTCAGTAAGAAGGCGCTCGAACGTGTCCTTCAGAAATCGTAAACTGCCCTCATTTTCACTTCAGAGGCAGACGGTGTACCGTCTGAAAATTCGACTTCAGCATGGACCAATCGCAATGAAACAACGGTTACTTTGATCGTTGGTTTCTCTGATGTGTCCGAGTTGAAAGCCATTTGCTTCCGAGCTACCTTTCGAATGCAGACTTCTTTTCGTTGACAGTAAGTTGAACTTCTCGTTTGAGCCACGCTGTGATCTACAGGTGGAAGGGAAACCCGTTTTATGCCACGCCATTTGGCTTCGGCCACATACAAGCCGCTCTTAAAGAATTCCACTCGGTTTCAACATCATTGGGATCATCATATGGATTTGTTCAAACCGTCCCGCGATGCCGTTTGCAGTTTTCCCCTCGCATTAGCAGAATATAGTGTATATTCACCGGTTCTTCGCATGGATATCCATCGTTTACAGCGGAGGTTGAAGATCGATTGATAGTTCTGCACCTCTGTTCACGCAAACATCCATCATAGAGCATCTTAAGTCAGACGATACGATTATCAAATCGATTCTCGACCTCTGGGCACTAGCCTCCCTCTATCAGGTATACTGATGCATGCTTCAATACTCGAAGAATGGTCCACAGCTGACAATCTGTTGTCTGCGCAAAAGCTAGGTCGAGAGGGCGGTTCTTTCCAACCAAGTGGTAAGACATTTCAGTGTCTGGTCGACATGCGCACTGAAATCACCTATTAGAACTACGGATTCTGTAGTCGGCACCTCGTAAAGAACACCTTGTAGGTCAGCCAGCAAGCACTCATTTTTTTCATTGAAATTGGGCGCGTAAAACTGTGATAAAGACATAGATTAAGCCCATTGTGTCTTCATCAAGATGATTGCCATTCTTCGGCTGACAATGAACAATGATTCAGTCGGCAAGGTTGATTTTAACAAAAAACAGCCTGAGCCTTTACTTCAGTGGAATAAAAGTAAATCGCGGTATATCTCGATGCTCACACTCACCTCTCTGGGCGATTTTTACTTCAAAATTCCATACCCTCTTTGTAGTTTGTCAAAGCAGAAAATTTCCAGTTTTGTGTTATATCCTTTTAAGTACCAACCCTCCACTGGTGAGGTCCATCGGGCATCCGCATCCGTCAGTCGTGCCTCGCAGTCTTACGGCAGCTACAAC